ATTAAGAAGAATTTATTAGTAATTAGATATTTCATCGATTTTGACCAGATAACTCCCCGGGGAGTCCCCAGGGAGTCCCCGCAAAAGAACGAAATCCCTAGGGACTCCCTGGGGAGTCTTCTAGGGAGAGTTGACTAGGGTGTTGAGAAAAAAATCAACATTTACATACAGGGAAAATATTCTAGAATGAGTCTTTTGTGTAAAGTAGCAAACTTTTAAGTGACACATCGATGTCTTGATATGCATTTTGTTCAGCAGATCAAGCCAACGAAAAACGTCCACGCTAGTTAATGTAAGGTACATCTTGAAACCGATGATTCGTACCGAATGGAACTGCATAAGCGACTGGATTTATAGTCGGAAAGGGTACTGTATGGCAAAAAAGAAGTTCTTTCATTAACTAGAGAATGAGTGTTGCATATATGATTGTTTCAGTTAATCGAGGCTTCTCAGTACGATGCACGTGGTATACACTCTCCCTTTTAAGAACGAAGCAGTAAATACCTTAACTACATTTTTTATGTTCTCAATAAACTCGATCAACTTCTCCCCATTTATTATCAAGAATACAGCAATTTAAATATCTTGCAAAGTTCGTATAAATACTGTCTCTGCAAGTCCCCTTACAATTGAAAAGGCATACATACGCACGAGTATTTATTGAAGAACTACTAAAATGGCGATGGACAAGTAGTTTGATTACCATAAGAAACAACCAGCACTGGTAAATTGAAGGCACACGACCAGTCGATTGGATTGTTCATCACATGACAAAAGCCTGCATGTGTACTTAGCTGAGGACAACTCAGAAGAAAAGCTATAATCATGCTAAACGGTCCCTGTGCACTTCCTCGACAAGAATAACCATGTGAAACGGCTGAAGTGACGCCAAAATATTCACCTACTCCATAGGCTTGTCCTGCACGACGAGCTGGATCAAACCCATTGGTACAAATTGGTATAATGGATGCTGGTGCTGTGCCGTGAAATGTAAAAAAGCCTCGTGCCATATCTGGTGGTACAGAATGGCCAAGAGTCTCCACTCCTTTGTAGAAACGTTTCATTGATGGACACTGATCCGCTAAAGACATATTATAATCGATACGAATGATGGGTGGCGTTCCTGGTGCCCAATTGGCACGTGCGAAGGTTTCTGCATTCTTAAATAGATTGGGTAGAAAATCACCCATGCGATGAACCATATTTCTTTCATCGCATGTTCTACCTTGATGTAATTCATCATCCATCAAAGAACAAAGAGGACAAACATCTCGGCCACAGGTGACACAGATTTGATAGCCTCGATTAGCTTTAATGAGACCTTCACAAGATGGATTCGGACAAAATAAATAACCTTGCAGGCTCGAATCAGTTTTCAAATAGATTTGAAGTGATTTTTTGCATGCGCGCATAAGTTTTTCTCGTTCGCGGAAGATTTCGAATAGATCATCCATGTCAATGTTCATTTTACATTTCGATTCGTTACATTGCAATGGATATGTGTCTAGCAAATAAGTTGAAGCACATTGACAGTAGGCATGACCGCACGCACGTAATGTATTGGTTGAATACGATGTTTTATCACAAAATACACATTTCTTTTGATTACGAGTAGTACCGCTATCAGTTGAAATTTTATTTAAAATATGTTTGACATCAGTTTCACACGAATCAATTAATTTTTGTTGTGTTTCAGGTTCTGCATAGATCACAATCGATTTTGTCTTTGATATGTAACTTACATGACAGCCCCAATTAATCCATTGATCAGCAGTTGCCTGAAGTTGGCTATCGGCTAGTTTTTTTCGTCCAAAGAAGTTAGCCGTCGTTGAATTTAATTCAAGAACACGAAATCGTTCATCAAACGTATCGGAATAATCGGCAATTTGACGCATCAATTGACCTTGTTGAACTTGAGGACCACAAACTTCGACCCATGTACTAGATTTTTCTTTCTTCATTACTTCAAGTTTCAATTTATTCGACCAATCTTGAATAATCCCTTTGGAAAAAAGTTCATCGAACAGTTGCGCCTGCCGATGATTTATCATTTTGATAATAATTGGTGATGTAGCTTGTGCAAGTGTTGCTGCTGCTAGTGCCGTTTTTTGTGGAGTACCATGATTAAAATAACAACGAATACTCGCATGACCTTTATGTTGTTTTTGAGTTAGTGCTTGCTGTTGAACTTGAACTTCGAATTTAGTGGCTATTTGTTGAATGAGTGTATCGAAATCAGGATACAAATGAGGATGCGTTACGGTTACTGTTGCTGAGCCATCAATTTGCCATGATGGCTCTAGATTTGGAATGATTTCTTTATAAATTTGAAGCGCAGATTCACGATTAGTTGCTGTTATCAGAAATGTGCTTGTTTCTGAATTTTTACTTTCTAATTCCGTAAGAATCGGTACGACTTGTTTCTTTACAAGTTTATGACTTGTTCCATTTCGAACAGTAATTTGAATAGGGTTTTGACAAAAGTCTGATTGAAGATTGTCAATAGCTTGTTGGCGTGCATTCTTTTCAGCAAAAAATATATGTGCTGATGATGAACCTGTACCATCTGTGTGTGTATGTCGTAGACTAATTTTTATCGGATTGACTGGTTGTAAAATTTGGCGTATGAATGTTTCATTAGCATCGCGTGGTAGATTGACTATTTGAATGGCAGGGTATGCTTTGATACTTCTCTTACCGTATTGTCGACAATCGATTGCATGTGGAACTAGATGATTTAGAATTTCTTTATCAGTCATAAATTTACTATCTTGTGGAATGGTCAGGGTTAAGTGACGACCCCATGCATCCTTCTCATTCATATGTGTACCAGTTGTGGACGACGATAAAACTGCTTGCGGACATAGATAATGAGATGGTAAACGTGCCGCTGCTTTCTGAAAAGCATCTGTTGATTTTAGTAAAATATAAAAAGGGGGTGCTTCATAATCATCATCATTGTCGTCGTCATCACTACTTCCATGTGATTTAGACTCTTGAAAGTTATTCTCTTTGATATCATGTCGATTAAGATCGAGTTTTACTTTCAACCACTGTTGTAGTTTTTCGTAAGTTTTACACGGTACTCGTTGCAGATGAAGTCGAAGAGCGTCTGCGATCAACTCCATAGCGGAACAAATTAGACCATTTTGAAATGTTGCTCGTATCGAACCAAATTCAATTGTTTTGTAATGAGTACTTGTTAAAATTGGCTGTAAAATCGATTCTAGCTGAGAACGTTCTGTTTTAAGACCCCAAATAGTTAAACGACACGAATTTGGGTCATACTCATACGAAAGCCATTTTGCCCACGATTCTAAGCGAATACTATTGAATACAATTCTAATTTCCTTGTTCACTGACCTACCAATATTTTCTCGTACAATTAATTGTTCTATGGACGATTCGGGAAGTTGATCTGTTGATATTTGATGAAGTCCATTAACGATATACTTTCCTGAAAGTGAACGCGCAATTAACATAGCTACGAAATATTTTCGTTTGTCATCATGTGCTCGTTGAACATATATACTTCTGTTGTCTATAATTGCACGTAGATTACATGCGATCAAACGGATACCTTCATCTGGTAAATGGGACACGAGAAGATGGCCGATATGATCAGGAAACAGTTTTTGAAGATGCTCTCCGATAATATCTCCATTACTCGATTTTTTATTGTCAGTTTTACTTCTTGTTGTTAACTTCCAGCGAGAATCAGTTATAGTGTCAATGTAAAATTTGATGGAATTTTCGACTAACTGAAGAACTTGATTGTTAAGTTTATTCATAAACGAATGCTTTTTTCGGCACGATTGACAAGTTTCGGAACTATCTTGATATGATTTATTACAAGTGATACATTTATGAGTTGTTCGATTGATGGTACCTTTTGTTCGCCAATCATTGAACACTTTGCAAAGATTGAATAAATCACTATTATATTCGTCTGCATCGGCCATCGTACTATGACAGATATTGTCGTTGAAATCATTTGTAGTGTCATTGATTAAAAAGAGAGAAGTGGGAATCGATAATATGGCAACAATAGCAGCAACACGCGAAAGCAAATCTCGATTGTCTTTATGTTCTATATAAATATTGATCATGAATGCACTGAACCGAGGACTAAGTGATAATGCAGCAGAAAGTTCACCACGTCGTGTTAGTTTTTCTTCTTTGTCGATGCACATCAAAGTTGTTAAACAATCAAGTGAACTACGTAGTGAACCTGAATCTGGTTTAGTCATAAAAGGAAATGTATGTATATCGAGATGTAGGCATTTCAATTGAAGAATCACTAGATCGAGTGGAACGTAAAGAATTTCAGGTACAATATTTTCTTCTTTTAATTCATCATCATTATAAAGGCGAGCACAATGACCATTTTTTCCATGGCTCACTCTATCTCGGCGTTGATCGGCGGAAAATCTTGAAATCCGTACTGTTTCAAGAATATTTAAATGATTATGACTATCAAAACGAAGCTCCCGTACTAGACCAGTGTCAATCACCAGTTGAACATCTTTTAGTGTGAATGATGATTCAAGAATATTCGTACAAAAAACAACCATCCGTTTATTTGGCTGTCGTCGATCGAATTCAAGTACTTGATTTTGTTCTTCGGGTGATAATGATCCATAGAAAGGTAATGCTACACATCCATTTGGAATGTTACTATTGAATATTTGCAGCGCTTTTTCAATATCACGTTGACCAGATAAGAATATCAATGTATGCCCGTCATGTTTCGAATATAGACGATATAAAGTTGGTATTACATGCGCTTCGATTAATTTATATTCTGGACAGTCGATAGGTGGTGGTTGATTTTCAACGGCTACTTTATACGTATGACTTTTGATAATCAGTGGTCGACTCGATGAATGATGAAAAAAATTCAAAAATGGCACAGAATCAATATGGATCGAAGCAATTAGAACAACGTAAAAGTCAATTTTCCGTTTGGATAACAATAATTTAGCAATGCCCATGACAATGTCTATATTTAATGAACGCTCATGCACGTTATCAATGATCAGTACACGTATTAGATTCAAATTTGAATCTGTTTGAAATTCATGAATCAGTGCTGTATCCGTCATATACATTATATTCTGACCGGTTACACATTCCCTCTTCTGACGATTAGTGGCTCCAATTAGATAGCCAATAGAATCGCCTTCCTCTGTGCCATCGTATTCGTCAGCAACTCGATGAGCAAATGTTCTAGCTGCAATTGAATGCTGTTCTACGCATACAATTAGATCATCAGGAAAACATTCAGCAACGTATTGTGGTAATTGAGTGCTCGCGTCACTTTCTGTATCGGTCATAACCAAAAGTAATTTGTCTTGTTGAAGTCGTTCACAGAATTTTGTTCGTGATGCAAAAATTGGTAGATCAGCTGCTTTTCGTTCGACCATGCGGACATCAATTGATTTTAAGTGGCGATTTTCTTTAGAATGAATTTTCTCTGTATTCTTCAATGATTCCTATTCAAATTAATTTCAAAAAACAAATTCGATCGTATCCTACCTTGCCGAAATCATCCTCGTTCGATTGCTGATTAGAATATGAACGTTTGGAATGCGACTGTTCTTGACGATATGTTTCTGATTGGTCAGATGAATCCGAAGAATAATGACGCACGCGCTGACTATCATTCTGATCGGGATGCTTAGATTTGTTTGCAATGGGATGCAAATACAAACAATCAGCTTTTCGACATGTGTTTCCATGGCGACACTTCCCTTTACGACTTGGTGGATGATTATCTGAACAAGTATAGTCGTTACATCGTGTTCCATTCTTGCATGCACGCCAGTCTCGCGAGTGTTTGTATGGACAGTCTGCACTAAAACAACTGTCGCCATGACGGCATGATGTACGTTTCGAGCTAGTTTTTGGTTGATTGGAATATGAATCATCGAAATCTCGCTGATAATCGCCTTTCGATGTATCTATCAACATAAGCCGTTATCGTCAAAAATATATATCTATGCGTTGAAATCGATTTATTTTTAGCTTTTATAAAAAAAAACATTTTTTTGATTGAGAATTTAGAAATCAAAAGCTCCTCGCTCCTTGAACATGAATGTGAATCTTATCCAATTTCGAATTACATTCATATTCATATGCAAACTCATTTCTCAAGTAGGATTCAAAGAAATATGCATAGTAAAATAGTCTAAAAGGTCGTTCCACAGATTGTTGTGCACATCTTGTGGCAGAAAAAATATATATTTAGAAAAATATTCGTAGGCTAAAGAAGATAGATATGATCAATCCTAACTTTTTAGTTTCCACATTGCATCATTGATATGTTATTCGTTTGTAATACTCTTATTATGGCAAAGTCTTTTTCTATTTTATCGAAACCTATCATTCGTTACTTTCCCTATATCTTGTTTTTCTGCGTGCGAAAGCATGATCTGTATATTTGCTTTTCCTTCACTCACCCTTGGGATTCATTGGTGTATCATCATCCGATTCATGGCTGTTAATCGATCTATTCGAATTAAAATTTCTTTTTGAAGTTAACTCATTCATCCTTGATTTCGTTGTATCTGTGTCTAATTCACATGTTAAGTTGATTTCTGCATCGGTGAAAATTGTGCTCCATTTCGAGACAAAATTGTTTGCTTGTCGATAACTTTCAAACCCATCGATGAATGCATACCACTTAGATGATTGTGTTTGAGATTTAGTAAATGTTATTCGATGTTGTGATACTTCAAATTTTTTTGATAAATCACCAACAGTGATGCTCGATCCAAAACCCGTAATTTTAACGCGATTTGTTTGTCCATCCATTCTTGTATGTGAAGTTATGCTTATTGGATATAGTAGGAGCCACTACAAACTTTATTTTTCAATCTTTTTATCTGAAAAACAAAAGTATGATGGTTGAAGCCTTTTCGAATGGCTGAGATTGTCCACGTGGATTTTTTTCTTTCTTTTCCTTCCATAAAAGATATTTTTAAAAAAATTTCTAACTTCAGCATATTTAAACAATTGTTCGCATTGTAAATTTTGAGAATAATTTAGAAGAGATTTAATTCGCTGAGAAATTCTACGATGCAAAAAGATGTGAGTATCGGGTGAGATTTTAAGGCGGATTCTATGTGCATCAATTTATATTGTCATTATGATGTAACTCCTACAGTGTGCTTCTCCATATACTATTGTGTCGCTTTCCAAATGAAAGTTCTGCTTTCAAAAACTAAATTCTAAACAGAAGTTCGATTTGTCTAGAAGAGTAAGTGTAGATACAGCATGATATGCCTTCATACCATACTTGTTATTGTTAGTTGTTCTGCATCATTGCTTTATGCTATCTGTTACAATTAACATCTAAGCTCACACTGATGCGGGCAAAGTATTATGTTAAAAGTCACTTTTATAGTCACCGTGCCTTGTTTTTTTGCAGCATGGTACACAAATCAATCAATATTATATTTTGCACGATGTATTTTAAACGAAAGTCGTCTTTACATTTTCTATGAAAATTTCTATTCGGTTTATTTATTATTCAAACATTGGTTTTCTTATAGAAAAAGAAGAAAAAAAAACAGACTACTTTATAGAGAAATAAAAAAATAAACAGAAAAATATAAAAATAAAAACTCTTGCTTATGATTAGCAGTAAAAAATACAAATGAAATGTTTGTACAGAAAAGTAACCGGGCAATGTTTTGTACATATCAATTTTTTTGATTTGATTCTAATGTGCACTTGCAGTTGAACGAGCTACATGTCCAATTAAATAAACATTGTCATAAAGATGGCCAGCTAATTCATCATTCAATGCTCCATTAATTATGGCACGGCGTGTATTACGTATAAATTCACGTTTTGACATTTTATTTTTAACATGTGGTGACGTTAAATCAATAGAAAGAAGAATCAATGAAAAACAAAGTACGTAAATTGTTTCTATAAAAAAGGCCAATAGTTTATCTGTTTTACTTTATTGATCATAAAAACATATACGTACCAGTAGATAAGCCAAGATCTTTGTTACATTCATGAAAACGTTTAGAAAAATTTTCAATTAAGAATGATAAATATTCATTACGATCTTCGGGCGCATCCAGTTTGGCAAAGAATTGACGTAGAGCATTGGGTAAAAATTGATTTTCATAGGATTGCAGCTCAATCAGACGTTCCAATATATCACGGCTAGGAAAAAAACAATATTCAAAAATCTTAAGGTTTCGAACATCAGTCAAGTAGTTTCTAACATTTCGATGAAACGTTATTATATTCTGCACAATATTTTCTTGAAAGATTTTCGAAAAATTAAATATTTGCACAACGTCTACAAATATGATCAGATTATTAAATCAACAATTAACATCATGAAAACGTAGCATTCGATTTCAACAATAAATCTCTATATACCGATTATATTTATGGACTTTTTTTGAAAGCTAACATGTGCCACGTTCATATTCTAAAAAAGTACAGATCTCCCTATCTAGAGAATGATGCTTTAAAAGTCTAATGTTCTTAGTGTTTTACAGCGTCTGAATTTTTATTAGAATCATAAAACTGCAATCTTTTAACGTATATGTCTAATTAAATTGATTTATATGCGAAACCTACCGCGTTTGTAATAATCTACGTTTTTCACCAGCTCGTAGTTTTCTTGTATTATGAATAAATTTAGTTAGTTCTTCACATGAATCATCCAGCAATCTATTTTCAATGAAATATTGTAGACCCTACATGTATAATAAGTAATAGAAACAACATTTGATAATAGAATGTTTTATTACTTGTCCAGCATTGAATCGTAACGTTCCTTCGTCGAGTTGTAAAAATATTTTACGAAATGAAATCCCTTCCCCACGAGCTCGACTATAAATCGATGCATAAGCCCAATTTGATTTACATAATCTTTATAATGAAGAAAAAAAAGATGTCCATAGAATATTCTTTTGAAAATCTATTTTATCTACCCAAGCCAAAGAATTTCATCGTTCGCTAATGTTTGCCAGACACATGCAGCAAGACATAGATCAGTTGCATTTAAATTTTTGAGAATTTGAAAAGCTAATTCAGGAGGTAATTGAGTTATATCAGAAAATTTGATGACTAAATTCATGTGAATTTTTCAAAAAAAGCATTTTTTCTTAGCATAGAATGCATACTTTGATTTTGATTATTGCTTGTCGGCCCGGCAATTTCTCGGTCGAGAATTTGACCCATCTTAAATGATTAAAATCAATTTTTGAATCAAACGAATTTGAAGCCGAGCCGACTTGCTACGCTGACGTGTACAAAAGATGTCGACGTGGACAGGGAAGCAACATGGATGTCAGGCTAGATTATGTATTTGATACTTTTTTTTCGCTCTATTTATTTAGCAAAATGAGACGAAGGAAAGCAAAAACCGAAGAACTGAAACAACATTTTTTGTTCGACCATCAATCATTAGCTGACTAGTTATCCAATGAAAATAAAGTAAATGAACAAAATTGAATTAAATGTAAATTAAAATTATATTCATTTATATTTTCAATGGATTCTTATTGACAAGCATTATTGAGGTCGACTACTAACGAACAAATAAATTCATCCGTTGCTAAGTAATCTATTTGTAAGTCAATTGTTAATGGCGTTTACTTTTAGCAACGTGTTGTATAGAAACAAATTTCAGAGATTTTATTTATTCGAAACTTCTATATTCTTAGGTGATATGATTTTTGAAGGTTGTGGTCAGTCGTACTATTCTATTCTTTTCACAACTTGAAAAGTATGATATCGTTAATGATAGCAAAAATTTATTCCATAAGTGTTTTTTTTCCTTATCTGAAATCGATCTCACTTGTTATACAATTCGGCTTGGACTTGTCATTAAATGGCAATGCAAAAAGAAAACTTTCGTATTTTTAATCAGGAGAGCTGTTACATAGCTCTCTACATAAGTATGAGATGACGTTTAACGTTATTTTTGCTTCTTGAAGACTGAAAAAAATCTAAAACTTGATGATGCAATTTATAATCAAACAAATTAATTTTTAATTTTTGAATCTCTATTTAGATCATTGTAATAATAAAACACAATGTCGATCATTCCACCTTCAGGTTCACTTGTTCGTTTCGATAATCCAACACTGATAACAGCACAAAATGAAAAAGATCGTAAAGTACTCGGCGCTGGTAAACAACAGACATCATTAGATCAACAAATGATGGATATTACTGGCGGTGGTGGTACTAGTTCACCACAACTAGGTAGAAAACAACAGGCTATGAAAGATTTGTCATTAGAAGAAATCCTTGATAAAATTCTTCCACCAAAGTATGAAAGATTTAGTTCAATTTCGAACTCGTATTCATTTCGAATTTCATCTAGGATAACAAAAGATCCAAATAATTCGGATTTACTCTATTGTCAACGTATATCGTCAACACCAGCAACACGTCTTGATGTTATTAATTTACAAGAACAATTAGATATGCGTTTGCAACAACGGCAAGCTCGTGAGACTGGTATTTGCCCAGTACGACGTGAACTTTTTTCACAATGTTTCGGTAACCTAAAACCAGAGCCCACAAATTATTCTTTTCTTATACATACATTATAAATAGATGAGCTTATTCGACAAGTGGCTATCAATTGTGCTGAACGAGGTCTTCTTCTTCTTCGTGTACGTGATGAATTGCAGATGACTTTACGTGCATATCAAACACTCTATGAAAGTAGTGTCGCGTTTGGTATGCGTAAAGCATTAATGGCTGAACAAGGCAAATCTGAATTAGAACGAAAAGTTCGTTATCGAATAGATGAATTGTTTTGATTGATTATTATTTTAGTTAGTACAACTAGAAGAAGATAAACGTGATCTTGAACGACAATTGAAAGAAACAAAATCAAATGCAGAAGCCGCGGAAAAGAAATTAAACGAACAACGACAAGTTGAAGAGAAAAAACATATGGAAGAAATAAATTTTTTGAAAAAAACAAATCAACAACTCAAGGTAAAATTCGATCGAAATAAGAAAATTCTAAATTATCCGTTTTGTTTAGGCTCAATTGGAAGGTTTAATTGCACCAAAAAAATAAATATAATGATAATTTTATTTTACTGTATACATTTATCAATGATAACATCAATACTGTGCGTTTCTTTTCAATATAATTTGTCTCTTTTTTTTTCATTAATAAAATAAATCCTAAATAAGTTTTTATCATAAAAAATATCTGACTTGTTTTGTAAGGAAAAACATGAACATATTCATTATGTTTCAGTGAATGAAAAATCAAAGATTCCAGAACTGCATTCAAATTCAACACTCTAGCGCCATCTCTTTTGAAAGAACAACAATCGTTCATTTAACCGGTGAAATTCATCCATTCAAATTCTGATATTGTTCTTGGATTGATTGATTTTTTTATTCTCGTTATGCAAAGTAATATACTCAGCCGTCTCATTAAATAATATGAGTACCGGAAAAAAACAAAGTAAATTGTCACGGATTTTCTTTTTCTTTTCTTTCTCATCGTCCCTTTAATATTTAGAAAAGCGGAAATGTCGCTCACCTCCACCACCGCCATCATTAAAGCCACAATTAGCTCAACGATTAGAAAGATTGCGTAGTGGTCAACGAGACCTTTGGGCAGACGATGATGATATCAATTCAAAGTCCAAACAGTCGAGAAAAAAAAGTAATAATCAACCAATTATTTTACTATCCGATTCCGAAGAAGAAATATCACCATTACCATCACAAGGACGATCACAAATTATTAAATCAAAAAAAAAAATCTCACAAAATCATGATGAAAATGTTAATAAAAATCCTACATGTTTAATTTGTTCGATTTTTTCTCAATTATCATCACATAATTGCTGTTCAGAACATCTATCTATTCTAAAAAATCATTCCGATCATCACGTGCGAACAACAAATGGTCAACATTTACCTGAAAAAGTTATGATTGTTCCGATCACAGATGAAATCGTTCAACATTATCTTGATTCACAGCAAATTTATCAATTACGAACACAAGCATCACCATCACGAACAACTAAAAAAAGATCTGTAAATGGAAAAGAAAAAAAATATTTTTTTTTACCAATTCTTTATTTTTTTCAGACTGTGCAGTCGGTTAGTAAAGCAACAATGACATCAGATGAATCTGTAGTGTCACATCCAATAATAAGAATTCCACGAGTTATACGAGAGTAAGTTCTACATTTTTCAAGAAACTTTAATCGGCCTGCACAATGATAATTACTTGAGACATGAAAAGTAGTGCAACTATCTTTTTTGATTTTGACAATGCGTTTTAAACAACCAAAACGATCATTGAATAAACTTATTTTTGTTTTTCCGATGCTATACTACAAATTAGGCATTAGGACTAAGAAGGCTATCTATTTTAGACCGTCTCAAATGGATATTGAACCACTTTGTTCAACGATTGTTGTCGAAACAGCAGCTATAACAACGTCAGATGTTGCTACATCACCTTCAAAAACAAATCATATTGAAAATACGACTACTAGTGATATCATTCCAATACCAGAATCATCCATTGAAACGATTACTATCGATGATAATTCAATTGATGATCAGCAAGACCATATAGATATAAAATCAACGAATGAATCTGGAAAACTGAATCCATGGGACCCAATTCGTGATGAAATCGATGATACTCTTGAACGAGTTCTCAATCAAGTTGATTCAACTGAAAATAGTACACTTGAATTTACACCAACAACAGCTCGACGCACAAATACAGAAGTAATGGCTGCTCTGTTACCGAAAATTCCACTAAAAGAAGGACGATTTCGTCAAGGAAAATCAATTATGAATCGTACACTATCCAATGCGGCTAATGAATATCGACCATCGGCAACTGTTTCGTTTTCACCAAAACCAACATCTGCTACACCACAAAGGTAGTTCATATTTCTGAAAGTTTTCAATCCTTTGTTTCTCGACATCATTTATCAATAGTAGTTCACCGCCGATGCTAACTAATGTTGAGAATACATCAACACCAGATCAAACTTCCAACATATTGAAAAATAATAGAACTACGGATGTTACTAGCAGTCAATTATTAACACTGGATGAAACAAATCAACATGACAATATCCCGATAACGACAGTCACACGAACTGACGTTGGTATAGCAAATTATTTCTTTTTTAGTCAACAGAAATTTCTAGTTTTTGTTTTTCATAGATCTACCTGTAGTCTCTGCTACTAATATAGAGCTTGAAATAGATCAATCACATGAGGAGCAAAATGTTACTTCATCGACTACGAATGAAAGAACAACAACAACAACAACACCAGTAAGAATGTCCTATCGTCTGAATCCCGACGGTACACGAGTTACTATATCACGGCCACTATTACCAACAAGTCGACAATCACCACTTGTAACTTCGTTACGTCGAGTAAGGCAATTCATTTACATTGTTTTCATAAAAATAAAACTTTCCTTATAGAACTCAACCGATGTTACTCCTATTCAACCAAATACCAACTAAATGTAAATAATGCACATGCGAGTTTTTCTTTTGTTTTGTACAGTTTCTATTATATTGTTAACTAACCTTTATATACAAGATAGATAAATAAATCATGCATTCAGAATAGCAAAAATCAAGTTCTTGCTGGTTCTCAGTATCAAATACTGAGAATTACAAAAAATATTCTTTCGTAACTGGTACGAGAATATACGACAGTGTTCATCCGCACTGATAATACCACATTTGATTTACAAACAATGGTTTGCATTGGAAAAAGTTGTAAGTATAATGAAATGAAGAAAATAAACTCTCATTGTGGTCATTGATGAATGACTGATTTTTCGGATGAAAATAGCTATTCTAGATATTAAAACAAAGTGAAAAATGCCATGTCGTTTAAACTGACAGTTAAATTCGATTTTGTTTTCCTCATTTATATTTCTCTTTGTCATAGAGCGTGTGAAGAAAATTTAGCTATTCTTCGATTACTGATTTATAATTGAAAAACACTCCTTTATTTATTTGAATAGATTGCACGTCATTTACTAGTAACAAGCGTCTGTGAAAAGCAGCAGTATGCCTATGTTGTGTCCAAATAATGATATCACTAATATCGGAAAGTTATATTTGACATTCACTATTTGCTTGAGCAATGTGAAATAAAGTGTATTGAATATTTATTTGTGAATATTTTCTTGTGTACTTTTTTCTATTTACTTCTAAGAATCACAATATTTATCTATTGTCCAAAAGTCGTATTGCGAACAAGTCTATTAATAAACTGATTTTACCATGTAATAAACAAACCGTGAGAGTGTGGGCGTTCAATAGAAAGAAGACAGCTACTCCCACATCCGCTACATTTATTCAATTACTCCTTCTGTACTCTAAAACCAGCTACAATATATTGTATTCTATTATTAATTTACAGCAGAAGAAAAGCTTCAATGCATAGTATTCAAGAGAATTCACTTACGCGGTTGATTTTATCAAACTGATTGAAATGACACTTAAATTAAATCCTTTGTTATGTACAAAAATATCATCTTTAGAACTCTCAAAAAAAATTCTCGTGACTGACTTCAATGAGACCCTTTTTCGATACTCTGTGAAAGAATCACGAGGAGACCTATAACTAGCATGTGATTTGTGTCAATTTTAAACTGATGGTAATAATCCATGTTAATCTGATGCCACTCCTAATTTTTTCTCATTACTAGACTTCAGTTCATTAAAAAGTTCAGCCTACTATGAATCCTAATTCTAAATTTATAATACTCACCGATCTGATTCATTATTTACTTCTTTGCTTTCACGAATTATAATAATTAATGAAGATGAATAGTTTTTTCATTCAAACTGCTTCAATAGTGCAAAATCGATTAAAGTACGTAATTTATGATATCAATTACATGTATCATCATACAACTTCTCAGTATCTGATCGATTCACATAATAATTTGCTATTTGATGATTAAGCACTTAACATCTAACAACATATGACGCCATTATATTTTTCTAATACAAGAAAATAACACTCCGATGAATTACAAATATTTATAGCCGATACGATAATAGATGATAATATATTTAAAAGTATATCTATTCTCTTTCTTGCGATATTTCTTTTTCTATCTTTTCGCTTCTATTGTTTCTTTTCTTCGACCTTGATGAATCTTTGTATTTTTTCCGTTTTCTCGTTGTTTTTATATATGTATATAAGCACTGCTTTTCTTTAAGAATAAGCAGAGATAAGAAAAGACATCTTGGATTGTGGTCGTCGCTCTTCGTGAGCGCGTAACCCTAACAATGTGGAACGATTTTGAAAGAACAGAATAACCAATTATGACTATTTTGTTTAAATTCAGATTACTGATCCGTATCCACATAATATTATAAATAGTATTGTTTTCGCATCTACTTTAATTATTTTCTATTTTATTTCATACTTTATAAAGATATCTGCATATTTCCTAGTTTATTACAATCAAAAATGAAACACTACACAAATTTTAAACATGAATAGAGAAATGAAAAGGTTTCAGAAATTACTGAATCAACAATTTGCCAATCGTTATACTATACTAAGATTATCCTACTTTGACTCCCTGAACCCAAACTCCAGCAATATTCCTATCATCACCAGCATTCATCCATTTCTCAAATAGAATATCCATTTCATCGTCTTTCCAGTAATCAAATGCTTGACTTTCTACGTTGCAATCTATGAGTAACGCATCAAATTGTTTTTCCACTTCAAAGCTTCCAATTTGTGAATCAATATTCAAAGCTCGTGCACCTCCAAGAGTAGCCAAGTAGTAAGCGAATTTAAAATCAATAACAGCATCTTTATGTTCAGGAAAACATGGTAATACAGCATGTGAACGATCAAACGAGACAAAATCCATTGTTCTGTGTGCAAAAACAGCAGCTCGCATGACAGGAAGCATACTACTTGCGTATGCTCCTCCAATATCTGTTCCCAAACCAACATTCAATCCTCTTTTTGTACAATGTTCTATTGCCGTGAGCCCCTTGGAGAAAAGAAAGTTGGCAATTGGACAACTGGCTACTGCACTTCCACTTGCAACCATTTCGTCTACCTCATTATCTGCTAAATAGATTCCATGAGCAAAAACTGCTTTACTTGTCAAGAGACCAGTTTCACGAAATATGGCTACATCTCGTCCGTTTCCAATGCTTGGATAAAGATCATGCACAAATGCAACTTCATCTGCTGTTTCAGCAATGTGTGATTGTACGTGAACATCGTGCTTCTTTGCTAATTGTCCTAATTGAGAAAGTAAATTTATCGAGCATGTCGGTATAAATCTTGGAGTAATCACAGGATGTATCAAAGCATTCATTCCAGCAACATCTCTTCCTTTTTGCATTTGGTGAACATAATGGATCAATTCTTCTGTATTCCGAATACTTTCATCTGTCGTTTCCACATAAAAATCTGGTGAATTTTGATCAGCGCATACTTTGCCAATATATGCTCGCTGTCCTTTCTCTTGACAAATTTCAGCTAAAATTTTTGTTGCTTCAAGATGTATCGTCGCAAAATATTGAGTCGTCGTTGTACCATTGCGCAATAATCTAGACACTAATTTCGTATAAAGATCACGAGCGTATAAAGGATCAGAACATCGAGCTTCGTTTGGAAAAGTAAATTTACGGAGCCATTCAAGAAGTGGAACTTCTGTGGCACTTCCTGCCTGTCGATACTGAGGTGCGTGACAGTGCAAATCGACAAACCCAGGACAGATAAATTGACTTTCACTTAGATGAATGAAAGTAACGTCTTGGTGTTCGTCAAGATTTCGATTAGCAAATGGTTGGATAAGTTCGATTCTGCCTTTGTTTACAACACAAATATGCTCCTTTCTAATTCTCAATGTTGATGGATCCGGTGTATCTATTATTGTTCCATAAAAGACATATTTTTGATCGGTCATTGTTCAGCGTTTTTCACACGTTTGCTTGAATTTCGAGCAGTGGTGAGAAAAAAATCTAAAGCAGAAAAAATATATCTAAGATGTTTTTGCTCACGTTCTTTCGTATATTTTGTCAGAGAGGCAGATTGAGTTCTCGCTTCAGAAGTATTACCATTATTGTTCAAATCTACAGATCTGGCAATAATTGATCAACACAACAACTATGAGGAAATCTCATGGTTGGGGATGTTTATCTCATTAGGGATAAAATAGCTTTCTAAAATTCTATTCCACATCTATAAGAATGACATGAAAGATAATTCATACTATTGAATATTAACAACGATGTGAATATCTTGAATACTTATTGTGAAACGTGACTGCATAGCACAGGTACTACAGAAATAAAAATAACATGTTTAGTATGCATTTGTAGCCTTGCTGGTGTCTACCGAATGACGGTTGAATCATATATACACGCAAGTATTCGAGAGAAGACGGATGAGTTTGATCTATCGGGTGGCCCAGAATAAATGAAGGGTTTACTGTTTCTCGATTATCTCCATTATTTTTCGTTCTTCTTACCCACTTTTTTTTGAAAAATATCCAATCCATTTCTCTATAAAATCATAGAAAAGCGTTCCGATGGAACTACGTTATATCCATTTTGTAACATGAAAAGTAAAGACTTTCAAAAGCTTGTACTTTCAAAGTCCGAAAATGGTGACGGAACGACGAAGATTTTTCGAGATCTCAATGGTGCCACCAGTCTTTCAACTATCGAGCGGTGTTGCAGAAGAATCCGTGAAGTCGGCACTATTGATTTAGTCAATTCACGTGAATGTTCAAGAATAAATTCGGACAAAAGCAGCGATTCAAAAGGTTAAAAGACGATTAAATCGGCGGAAGCCACTATCCTCTCGAAAATTAGCTCGTGAATTGGGTATTTCTCGAAGTAGTGTTCAGAGAATACTCAAGAGTGATCTAGAACTTCAGGCATATAAGATTCAAAAAGAACCATTGCTCACTGATAGTCATAAAGAAAAAACAACGAGGTTTGCAAATTGGATACAAACAAATTTCCGAAAAGAAAACACGATGAATATTTTGTTTTCAGGCGAGAAAATGTTCGACAGTGATGGAGTCTATAACTCTCAAAATGATCGAATATGGGCGGTGTATCACCTTTAGTGATTATTGTGAGTGGCACGCTCGATCATGATCAGTACATCAAGGAAGTGCTTCCAATCGCTTTCAAATATGGCAATGGGATGTTTGGGGACGATTGGATCTTTCAGCAAGACGGTGCAAAGCCGCACATCCATGCAAAATTACAGGAATGATGTGCCAACAATTTTCTGTCGTTCATTGACAAAGACTATTGGCCTCCAAATAGTCCTGATTTGGATCTATTAGATTACTGTATTTGGAATGAAATCGTACAAGTGATCAAGTGGAATATAGTGACACTTAAAAAGACACTAATTGTTACGTTAAAACGTGCTGTCAAAGAGATTTCAAAAGATGTTGTGTTTGAAAGTTGCTTGTGTTGGGCCAATCGATTATATTATTGAACAAGGAGAGCAATTGTCTAAAACTTCCATTGTACAGATTGCAAGAAGAAATATTATCAAAAATACAACAAAAACATTGTGCTCAATTTTGCCTCATTGTAACATACCTGATGGAAACTTTCTTAATTGTAGAGGTCATAATCATCTTAAAAATTATCGGCTATTTTCACTAATAGCATTTCTAATGAACTTTCATTTTTTGTTAGAGCTGTATTTTATACACAAAACAGGTCGTATCCTCCTTGTCAAAGAATAAAACTGATATGATACTATTCATCTGCTTTTAGGCAGTTGTTAGCTCTCATATACTGTTGATACAAAAGTAAATATTTGAAAAAGATATCTCCTACTCGTCCCGTGGTTCTATAATAAAAATAGGTGATGTTAAATGCAGAACAAAGTTTAATGTTGACAATTTTGATAAAAATCTTTTACCTTAATCAATTCATGGTATATATGAGGATTAATCAATATTTCAATTTATTTAACTCTTGAATCGATTTTAGGAAATAAACCATTTGAAAGCATAACAGTAAGAAAAAAGTGATAAGCAATATCATTTACCTCTTTCTCAAAACGTACATGAAAAAGTATGCAAATATATACACAGTGTGGTAGAGGTCGAAAAAGGAACAATAACGCATTCCGCTCTTGCTAAAGGATCTTATGCATTGCTTTCGAGAAAGCTCGCGTTTGCTGATATTATTCTGAACAAGAGTATGATGAGTATAATCCATACAGCTTAGATCATTTTACGCCACCATCAAAATATGAAAGACATGATTTATGTGTGTTAGTGCGTGTTTGTTCTTTCGTAGTACCCACAACAATAGGGATGACTTGAATATTTATTAGATAAACTCTGTACTATGTCTATTGCTCAACAGTAATTGTTTTTCAACGAAAGAGATTGGGTGTGGGTGTACGTTTAGCTATTATTCTCACCTACGCATATTCACACCTACACCCTTCATCATCCAGTAGAGGAAGGGTTATTTTAAGAAAATTAACCAAAAGTAACAAATTGACTATCAAATTTTCAAAATTTTGAAATCGATTTTCTCTCAAAGAAACAATTTTTTCAGAAAAGAATGAAATTTCACAAGATTTAACCGAAAATAATAAGAATTACGGAACCATCATCTACTATCGATTTCTCAGAATCGTTGGACATCTGTGTGTGGTATCTCGGCATGTGGAGAGACAAATCAGGGTGGTGATCATGAATATGAAGCCAGCTGGAGTAGTCTGTGCCAATAATGACGGCACGCTTCAATGATTCTCCTTCTTTCCTTTTCTGTTTGCTTTCCATTGTTCTAATATCTCTCTCCTATATATGCGTGTGATATGTATGAAGTTGTTACACTCTGGATATGTGAAGGAGCGAATAAACATCATTGTCGAGAGTGGCGGTAAACTATTCCACTCTATCCAGTTTGTCATTATGTATAGACCCCAACAGGGCCCTATTCATCTTTACATAGTCCTTATTAGGTATGGCGTGTATCGAAAAACATTTGCGAAAACGTCTATGAAATAATTAGTATTGGTGAATAGTAGTCATGTTTTCTGTAAATGCTGTTGAACAGCAAACGCTTTTCATCTCTGAACATTCATCAATGAGAAAAGTGTAAGATTTTATTGAATGGAATACGAGTAGTTTCAGAGTAGGGTTTGACTGTGATTGTACTTAAGATTCAACGGCGCATCCCAACTAATCCACAACCACTCTATACCCAAAAGCTTAAATTGAATGTTTTTATTATTAACTAGCAGCATCAGAACATTCGATGTTGTTGAAAAATGAAAATGGCAAAGAAAAACATTTTCAGTCATCTTTTAAAAACAAAGTACTTCTTTTTCATTAGAAAAAGATTCTTTTCTTTATTTTATCTCACTTGTCAAGTAATAAAAGTTTTTATTACATTTATTGTTATTGTATGAAAACATACCTTTTATTTTCACTCATTGCTGAGTAGAAAGATCAATAACGATAAGCCTGAGAGTCTCATTTGAAACTTCGATTCTGAGATTCCAATGAAATTAATTCCTTTAAAAAAGTACATAGAATTTATTCGTTTGCAACTATCTAATGATGCACTTATTTTAAGCGAATGAAATGTTAAAGCGACAAGCTTAATAGTTAATACTAGAAATTTAAAGCAAAGGTCCACTGCTAGTCTCAAGTTGATACGTCAAATTTCATTCTTTTCAAAATCTTTAGCTGTACACTCTAAAAGATAAATTCTTTTCTGGAACCTTGTAGAAAAGCGCAAGCTGTGTAAATACGACTAAAAATTGCAGTACGAAAATAGTTTATTCTCGGAAAATCCGGACTTCGACAATTTCTGGCCAGGCATAGTATCATCTTCTGCGTGAAAACCTCTAATTTGTATCCTCATGTAGAGCCATGTATTATATCCCACAGCTACACCCTTTAAAGTTTGAAAAATATTAAAATATCTTTAATCAAGACCCGTATTGAGATAGAGCTGTGAATTTCATATGACAATTCAAGTGTTCAGGCATGCCCCATGTAACTTTTTTTCGAGCCGTAACGCGTCTCTGATCGTTTGTGAACGATGGCACTTCACGCATCAGGACGCATGCAGGGTAACCTGACGCGTCTACAATCTTTCAGTATCTAAACGTATCATAAGTCATTTGCATTGGAAGACGCGTTAGGACTCGTCCGAAATGCAACATTTTCAAGCGTGGGAACGCATCGAAAAGCAAATGCGTCTAAACTCCTCTGGATACAGGATGCGTTAGAACGCGTTTACTTTTTTCCCCCAAAAAATTTAAAAATTATCAACACTGTCGGAATTGAGCCAACGCATCATATTAAGCTATGATATAACACTCGCATATCATGAGCAACAGACTGGTAATTTTTCCAACGATAACGTGAACCAAGATTTGAACCTGTTATGTAGCGCAATCTATCGTTGTGTCATTTCTGTCATTGTTATGACGTCATTCTATATATGTATCACTTTTCGTTCTGCTTGAACTGTCATCTGATCGTTTCTATAGTATATTCCATTCTTTTCTGTATGACTTCTTGTAAGTTCTCTCTTCTCTATCTTCTTCTAGTAAGTTCTTTCCTATTCCATATAACTCTCTATATACCAGACACTTCTACATAATAAACGTCTGTTTATTAGTTTGTTATCAAACGCTAAATTCAGGTTCTGAAAGACTAACAATCGGATAGTGATTAACTAACCTTACAAACCCATGAACAGTTGATTAGAAGTCGAGGGTGTGAGTGTGAGTGTGGGTGTTTTCTGGTCACAGATTCACCCACACCCACACCCACACCGTCTGACCAGTTTTCATTGACAATACCTACTATATAACTATGAATTCTGTTGTGTTTCGGAAATCAGTGTAATGAAACGCGTTTTATCTACTTCGTCGATTTTACTGTGTTTATTGGATAGC